CTTGAAAATAAGTGAATGCAACGTTTAAAAACGCACTATCTATTACGTGCTTAATAACAATTTTAACAATATAAATAGTATTAATAAATAACCCGACAAATAAGGACCTACCCACATTTCTCACCCACACAAGACAGACATGCTTACGGAGGTGTTGGGGCCTCACACTTATAGACACACCCACACGAATATACACACTTACACGCATCATACTCACTCACACCCTAAGAACCAAATAACATACACATTTAACAGAGACACATCCCCATTCCAGGAACCAATAAAACTGTCAAAATGACTAAGTGAATCCATCCAGCTCATATCTTAAAAACAACTCAAAAGAGACTGTTTGACTAACACAAGGTCTGAACAAAATTCATGTTAAAAAAATAAAAAATAAAAAAACAAATGAAAACTACAGTAAAAAATTCATTTTCCCCCATCAAGACATTCATTTCTGTAGTTCACTGCTACCTGAAAGCAGAATTTTTTTTCTCCTGATGATGGTCATGTTAGCCGAAACTAGTCGAGGAGTCTAAATGAAATAATAATAAAAACGAAAGAATATAATATACAACACAGAGTGTCTGAAGATTTTAATTTTTTTAATATTTTTTTCTTCAATATATATATATATATATATATATATATATATAGCAGATCACTCGTATTCGAGGATAACCATCTACTAGCCAATCCCTATTGCAGACGCTTGCTCGGGCTCATTTGTGTTTATTCAACACCCACAGAGCCCACCTGTAGTTTATACTGCAGGTGTGCTGAGCAGACCTTAGTTACAGTTACTGCGAAAGACCTCCTTAACTAGCGTGGTCTACAATTTGAAACTCAGCCACGATCGACGGTCCCCAAGGGTAACGTCTACCCAATTTCACTCACAAGGTTTTGGTCAACCCGTGGTATGTTTTTTCAGGCATTTTTCCAAAGGTGCCACACACTGGGATCAATCCCTCCAGACTGAGAAACTGACCAAGCCAACGTTCTAACCACTCGGCCATGTGCCCATATGTAGATATACCTAAATATGCCTACGCTCGAAGTGCAGCTTAAAGTTTCGTAGTTCTACTAACACATCAGGCGAAACTTTGTTGCACTTCGAACGTAGGTATATGTATATTTATTAATATATATTTTCTAGCTCTGTCTTACCACATTGAGCACGGTTTTGTTCACACCTTAAATTGAGTAAATATTTATTCACTTATCTATGTATGCATGATAACACACATATATACAGTTGCTAATATCTAGTCATTTGATTTATCCACGTCAATATATATATATATATATATATATATATATATATATAAAAATATCCGTCCTCCGACAGGAATCGAACCTGTATCCTATACGGAACCATCATATAGCCTGACGTGCCTTAACCGATTGGGCCACAGAGGAGCGTTCGGTTAGCAAGGTCGATTTTACTATTTTCAAACAAAATTCATTTCATTCATTCATATCTGCTCAATGCGTATCCAAAACAGTAAAATCGAACCGAAACGCACCTCTGTGGTCCAATCGGTTAAGGCACTTCAGGCTTTATGACGGTTCTGTATAGGCTACAGGTTCGATTCCTGTCGGAGGACGCATATTTTCTATGAAAATTTCTCGGATATTCAGGCCGATAAATGTTGTTAATACTGTTTATTATAAACAGAGCATTTACTTAAATATTTGTGTCTATAAAAAGAATGTGCAAACATAAAAAAGTGTCTTAAATAATTGTCGGACTTTTTCCATTTCATAATATATATATATATATATATATATATATATATATATATATATAGAATATAATCAAACGATCAAATGAAATAATAATTTGGAAACGCTTTAAATGGAATCATATTCAGGCACAAAACCTATTGCAATCCCACCTCGTAAATATTGTGATATTCAACAATGCAATAATATTTATTGGTTGATTATCCCCCCTCTCTCTCTCCCCCTCTCTCTCCCCCTCTCTCTCCCCCCTCTCTCTCTCTCTCTCTCTTTCTCTGTCTCTCTCTTTCTCTCCCTCCCCCTCTTCCCCCCCCCTCTCTCTCTCCCACACACAGACAGACGTATACATTTCTGCTTCTCTCATTCTCATCTCTCATCTTTTTTCCCTCATGTTTCTCTTCTTTCTCTTTTCCCTTCCCTCTACCGATTTCACCTCCTTTCTCTCACCCCTGCCGATTTCACTCCATAAAGAGAAGATCAGAGACTGATTAGGTTTTCTACTTGGAACCAAAGCAGTCGTCAACGGAATGCACAAAAATTCGAAAGAATTTGGAATATAAGAAACAATCGAAGAGAGTCAATAATCAATAAATATTCAGAGAGGAATTTTCAACCTCGAAAGCACTTCAACAAAAGTGTTATTCTAATTCCATTACAAATAGCTTGTTATATTCACTGATTTTAGAAGTACATGCGTACATGACTCGTCGAATGACGTCTAAATCTTCATATTTATATAAATTAGCAGCATGGCCCGGCGTTGCATGTGCTTGATTCAAAAATCGTACGACTCATACAGCAATTGTTATCACTTGACTTAAAATATTTTTGCCCTTCCTTGTCTTTAAAGGAGTGCCCTTTGCCGTGCTGATGTTGCTACATGCCTTACTTCTTGCCTATCTCACACTACGAATTTTTTCTAAGCTCTATACTAAACATTAAATCTGTTACGAAAAAAGAACTAAACAAAATGAACACAAAACGATCAGCTTTAAAAAAGGACTCGTAACTGGAAAAACCGAATGAAAAAAGAATGTTACCAACAAATACTTTTTCACACCCAACCCAGTTCTGTGGAATCAGAATCAACGTTGAGTTTAAGCAAGCGAATGAGCCAATTGGAGTAAAGTGCCATGTAGATTTAAATTTTTCCCACTTGTGACGAATGCAGCTATTGATTTTTTTTTTTGCATGCTAGTTAATATTCGTGTCAGTCAGCTGTTGGCTCTCACAATGACCAATAGAATCTTCCTGCCTATTCGTGGCAGCCAGCTATTGGCCCTCACTCTGGCCAGTAGCAAATGGCCGCAAACTACATGAAAACCGCCGTAGAAGCATGAAAAAATCGATTATTTCCACTATCGATGGGAGTTGGGAAATGCAAAGTCGGTCTTGGCCTTTCCACTAACTTGGAGCATGTGCATGTAAATTTTGGTGCAAATCCGTCGAAAATTGCGGCCGTGCATTCGTTACATATACACACATCCTGCCTTTTAGAGATAGAGATTAACGAAACTATTTTCCTACATGCAAATCCATTCCT